TCACAGTTTTTTGTGAGTGGAAAATAAAATCTGAGACCGGATTTGGAACAGTTGCATGGTGGCGAGTGGGGCGGTGGAAAAATCGTCAGGATCGACCGGATCATAGGAGGTGTTTCTGTCGGTAGGGTTCATTTTCCAGAAGTACGCAAGAAATAGTAGCGGTGACAGATGGCGAAGGCAGTCTGGTGGTGACCGGAGAAATTCGGAAATTGATGTTGGCATGAGTCACGATAGTGTATTGAAGACAAACCGGAGTTATGACACGGTTTGCCAAAAATTTCTCACCGGAAGATAATGGGTCAACCGGGTAAAGCACGGTGAAGGGTAGTTTCTCACTAGGCTCTAGATAACATGTTAAAATACGAGAGACTAGGATACATTTGAATAAACCGTGTGTTTTGAAAAATATTACAGAGACTTTATTATATATAAAGAGAGATTACAGCTAATTACATGATATAGTCGATATGGGATTATTCTATATACAAATATTCTTAACACTATATATTTATAAATATCAACACAAACAATATAATATCATTTTATTCCATCTCATTCAGCTTTGCTCCATCTGATTCCATCAATCCAAATAAAGCCTAAGTTATATGAAGGTTTTATGTGGAAGACGAAGCAGGTGACAAGCAGTATCACACTTTTGACTGAAACATTTCTTGGTCTTTTAGTGCACGTGTTTCATTAAATTATTGCAACATCGTTACTAACTAATGATTCGAGTGTTCTAACACTTTTCAGGCTTGGATCCTCTAGCACTTTCCATGCATCTTTGGTTGGTCATGCCTACCAACTTACACTGACGATATGCCATGTGCTTCTGCATTATCCCTGCTTAGAAGGAGCCAGACGACAGAGCCATTCAGAGTATATATTAACCACTTGGTAGCAAGGGATATACACTTCCATTGTTACGTCGATCAGAGTGGGATAATTCCCTTTGACGACATATTCTTATACTTGGGATGGCTTACTGGTTACATTTGACGTCTCCTTATCTACTTGAGTGTGCCATCAGTCAATTCAGCTACAGCAGTACATTTCCAAAAACCATTATGTGTATACTTCTCCCGCTGTGAAATATAGAGATGTGGATGCTATGTTTGATGATTATGTTAATTATCTAGTACCGGAGAAGGTACGGAGTACCAGAGAGTGACTGGATCTACGTAAACAGTTACATCTGATGGTTCTTCCAGGTTTCACGTCCTTATATGGTGCAGGATGCTCCAGGAGATCCACATAGGTCGGCTCATTAGAAGATACTAGAGAAGGAGCATACTATGGAAGGTCATGTTGTTGACGTGTTGCCTAGATATCGTTGTATTATAGAGATTGGGTAGGCATGTAATGACGGAAGACTCTTTCCTGATGGATCTGAGGCGAGGGGTATTGTAGATGTCATGATGGCGGAGGCTCGGGAGACACTGCAGTATAGGAGGCATCATAGAAACAGGGGGCACGAGGCCATGTTCGATTCTGTCATACGCAATAGATTATAGTACTTGTATTATAGATATATTTTAGGTTGTATTTTATTTATCGACTTTGTTATAACTTTTAGATTGGATTTATGTACTCTTGACTTATATCTTTATATGTCATTTTCTCCATAGCCTTAGTATTATCGAATCATAGTATATCTTCTGACTATTTAATCTAAGAATCACTTAAAAATACTTAGAATTTATTGTTTGCACTTGATACAGAGATGCATCTCTAAATGCTTTCTGATGCAATACAAAGATGCATCTCCGAAACAAACTAAGTTTAATAGGTAAAGGTGCAAACAAAGATGTGTCTCTGAAATAATCTAACATTTAATAAAGATGCGTCCAAAAATACATCTTCAGAAACTGAAGGACATTTTTAGAATTCCATAGGATGTTTTTCAGGTATATATGTAGGTTAAGAAAATCCCTTATATTTTCATATAGAAAGTTTCAAAAAAAAACCCACCTTTATATTTTCATATGTATCCAAGAAACTTTAAAAAAAAAAAGACGTTCAAAACAATCTACTTAAAATAGGTCAAATTCAAAGATTAAAGAAATAATGTTGAAAAGTAGATTCAGAATAGCCCAAAATCATTTCTATTAGAAAAAATTTCAAGAATAATTATGTTTTAAAATTGAAATACATTAATAACCAACTTTCTAAAAAAATTATGTAAATAACTAGATTTCAGAAATTGAATAGGTAGACACGTCATCTCATATGGCGCATGCACCTAGGCGCAATATGAGATTGCGCATGCATTGCCTAGGTGTCATATGAGATGATGTGTACATGTAATGTTTGTGAATAAGAGTCATCTCATATGACGCATGAGTGTATTTATGTTTTCTATAAAATTAATGTGGGCGGAATGCGAAATCACTTGTCGTTATCGACTACTGGGAGCAATTAAATTATATGTAATTTTTATTCTTGGAATGTAATTATTTTATTAAATTAAAAATCTTAGTTTTTTTAGTTTTATTTATAAATTATTTATTATTATTAAAAAAAAATTTAAAAAAACATTGCACTTAGACGCCATATAAGATGACTTTCTATAAACAATATAAACCTAGGCGTCATCTCATATGACGCTTCTCTTAAAAATTAACATGCATGCGCCATTTCATATGGCGGATCCACTTAATCCATATTACAAAATCGATTATTTACATCTTTTTTAAAACATAGTTATTAAAATATTTTAATTGAAAAACATGATTATTGCTATAAAAAATGCTTTCTATGAATCAATCATATATTTTATATTTATTACAAACCTGTACTAATTACTAAAAATTAAAAACTTTTTTTTCAAAGTATTAGAATAATGTCGTCGTCCTATAGATGGTGGCATTTAGTCTAGCCCATTTGATTATAGGCTACCATGAAAAACTTGTACTTTTAATTATATTATTATTTAATTCGGACGGGCCGTGGTGGGTTGTCATATACCTATTAACAATTTTTTTTATTTTTTAATTATTAATTATTTAATATTTTTTATATAAAATAATTAATTTTTAAATAATTTAAATAATTAATTCTATTTGATATTCATCATCTTCATTTTCAAACAATATTATTCATCTTTTTTATTTTTAAATATTTATTTTCTTCATTTTCAATCTTCTTCGTCTCAAAAACATTTATCTTCTTCATCTTTTTCATCTAAATTTTATTGAATAACACAAAAAAATTATCAAATTTAAATTTAAAACTCATTACTTATAGAATCAATAAATTTGATGTCTTCTAATCTGAAATAAATTAATAATTTCAAATTTCAAACTTTTATCAATATTATCATTTAAATTTGAAAAAAAAAATTCTAAATCCACCAAAAAAATATTTTCAAAAAATCTTAACAAAATCTCTAACTTCACCAAAAAAAATTTGAAAAAAAAAAATTATAGAATTATCACAAAATTTCAACAACAAATAAATTTCTATTACGTCAAAAAAATTGAAACACAATTATCATAAATAAAGAATTATAAAGTCACCATAAAATCTAGAAAAAATTATAGAGACACAACAAATTTCTTAAATCTAGAGTCACTACCAAAAAAATAACAAAAAATCACAAACAAAAAAATCTTGAAAAATAGGTCTAAAGAAAGAGAGTTTAAAACAAAGAGGTTCAACAAATCTGAAGAATAAAAGAGATTAATCTCAAATGTTGTCTGATGTTATCTTATCGTGTTACTATCTTTGAATTCAACACTTATTTATTTTAGATTTAAAATTATTATTCGATGTTTTTAGATCATATTATACACATATTAGAAAAATCTAAATCTAAAAAGTCAGATTTATAAAAATTATACAAATTTTTAAAAAGAAAAAATTTGATGATAGTGGATGAAGAAGAAGATAATGATTAGGTGCTCTTGAATTTATTGGTGTTATTCTTTTACTTTGACTTCTGTTTTAGAATAAGAAAGTGAAAAGAAAAAAAATTAAAATGAACATAATGGATGACAAGTTTGAGGTACCAAAAAAATGACTCGCCTACAATTTACTGAGTTTGTTATTAGAAAAAATAAATAAATAAATTGTGTTTAATAATATATTATTTTAACATGACGTAATTATCCTCTAGTGTAGGTAAAAAAAAGGCAACTTCCCCACCATTATCAATGCATATATTTTATATTTATTACAAACCTGTACTAATCTTAATTACTAAAAATTAAAAACTTTAAGAGTAAAGGATTTAGGGCATGTTTGTTTTATTTTTTAAAAAATATATTTTTTCTCTTTGTATCATTAAAGATGATTTTTGAAATAATGCTTTCTAAAATATTATAAAAAAAATTTAATTCATCTTTTCTAAATTAAAAGATCGATTTTTACTCCTTTTAACATAAATATACATTATTGAAAATCAAAACGTAGTCAAAATCACAAATTTTTTCAAAAATTATATCTTAAAAAAAAATTTAAATAACTTCAAAATTACATAATTTTTTAAAACTTCAATATTAAAAAAAATCAATAAAATACATAAAATAACATTTTAACAACAATTATTCAATCAAATTTTTATTTGAAATTTTTATGAAAAATTTCTTTGTAAATTCTTTTACAAAAATATATAACACAAAAGAAAATATTTTAAATGAAACAAACAGACCCTTAATCCAGACACTGATTTTTTTTTTTATACATTCAAGCTTAAGAACCCAACAATTTGAAAACTTAGCATTTAATAATTTCTCAATCCATCCACTATATTTCTTATTTAACTTTTGTTGTTTATAAAGTTCAACTGTACTTTAGTACAGTGTTGGTTGACTTACATTTCAATGCAACTAATAGGAAAGATTTTGTGCAAGAACAGTCACAAGAATGCAGGCAATTTCTGCCACATGTCACTAGAAAAAAAATGTTGCAAAATTTTCGGTATCTTAAGAACCAACGGCAGGGACAAGGCATTATCCAACGGCAGATTGTATGCTGAATTCTTACAGTTGAGAAAACAACTATTTGCATGACGCATGATGTTGCGAAAATTGCCAAGATGGGCGTTTAGCACCGGATAAAGGCACCTCACATTTCAACACACACCTTAACCATTTAACTCTGTTTAGAAGTTCCTCCAAGTCCAGAATTGCTGAGTCTGTTGTATTTGAAGATGTGGAATTCAGACAAAGGTTGCTGTTGGTTCTCATCTTCTTAGCAGGATACTCACCATCATGTCTATTTATAGGAGTCCTTTCCAGAATCTCAATCGATGCATCAGAATTATGTGAGCTTGAAATAATATCTGAAAAGGAAGTTCTTCCACTTTTGTTATCAGCTATTTCAATATCCATATTCTCTCTAGTCTCCATGGATCTAGATGAAGGCTGACCAACGTTCTCGGCCCCATCTGTAGCAGTAGTTATGTTCACAATATTCCCTGCTATAGCCAAAGGGTTTGAGGTTAAACTCGCGAATTTCCCATCTCGGGTGTACATAGATAGTAAATTGCTACATTTTATATGCTTAAACTAATAATGGAAAATAAACAAGGAAATTTTATACTATTAAGGGGAAATAAGGCAAAGAAAACATGAAAGTTCTTCCTAAAACATTGCTATCCACATTATTTGAGATATGAAATAGCCACACCAACTAATATTTCATTCAAACGAGAGAAATCCAACGAGTATATTTTAATTGCGTTCTACCTGAATTTGCTGGATTCGTTATCCGAGCAGGGCACCTACTTCCATCCTCCTGCTAATTTTATAAGAAAATGAAGCATTGATCATTCAAACGAGATATCTAAATGATCTTTAATCATCTAAACAAACTTAATACATAACTTAAAAACAATAAACAGTAATAAAGACTTGCGGGATGATGTTATTCTCTCTAATAAGATGATTTATTTGGAACAATTGGTAGATCAAATTAGATTCTTAGAATTGGTTTTTAGGTAAGTCCCATGTATCTCTTCGTACTTTTCTAGCGTGGGACCCACCTTTATCCTGTCAAGATAGGCCATCCTATTGGAGAAATGCTAGCTTGGTCACAACCCCAACAAATCATCCCGTAGTTTTATTTTTTTTGTGGAGCATCTAGTTGGATAATCTAGGTTGCTGGGAGTTTTGGTTTCCTTTCTTGCCCTTATATTTGGCTGTTAGGGGTCTTTTTCGGGAGAGTGTTGGTCTCCTCTCCATGTTCCTTACTGCTTTGACTGTATCTTATCTGTGTACTATGGTAGGATTTGAATAATTCTTGTAAAATATTTTATTTTTTTATTTTATTGTTTTTGTTTATTCTCTTTTATTTTTCTTTATTCTCCATTAAGGAGAGAACTAATTATCATTATTGTATTACCACTATATAAACCAGTCTAGAGTTGAGGAATAAAATCATAACAGCATTTTATCGTTCTCTTCAATATGGTATCAAGAGCACTAGGTTAGGATTTTACTTTAAAGCTTCCTACAACTAGTGGGGTTCGGGACTTTACAGTAAAAAAAATTCCGCTTGACCCGCTTTTTACCCAACCTGCTTCACATACTCGTTTAGCCCCCTATGGCGAATCAAAACAACAAGTAGCCTTCCCCAGCACAGACCTACACCAGATCCAACCATGGCGAACAACCACCACCTGAGTCAGGCGATGACGGCGGTGGCCGTGCATTTCAGGCTAGTAATTCTGATCAAGGACAACAAATCTTATTAGAGATATATATAGAGAGAGAGATCTCATTGTAATATCTTTCTCCAATAATAACAATAACAACATTCTTTCACTCTCTTCTTCTTTTCCCTTTTTCTGACATGGTATCTAGAGCTCTTTTCTTGATGTAGCGCTTCCATGGCATCTCCTTTAAATTCTGAGGGCGCGTTTCCCTCCTCTCAAGTGAAATTATCACGTCTCATCTCTGTCAATCTCGACGAGAAGAATTTCAAACAATGGAAGCAACAAATAGATGGAGTGATTCGTGGACATAAGCTACAGTTGTTCGTCACGACACCCCGCTCGTTCCTCCGCGTCTTCTTCCTGGCGCCGATCCTATTACCGGCGGCGCAAATCCAACTTTTCTTGATTGGGAGCAACAGGATGCGCTCATTTGCACCTGGCTCCTCTCTGCGGTCTCCGATTCTCTTGTTCCGAAACTTGTGGATTGCACATATTCTTGGCAGGTGTGGTATGAAGTTCATCGCTACTTCAACACCTTACTCACGACGAAGGCGAGGCAACTTCGATCTGAACTACGCAATCTCACGAAAGGTTCAAGCACGATTGAGGAATTTGTGGTTCGTGTTCGTGAAATCGGTGAACCCTTGGTTTCAATTGGAGATCATGTCCCTCTTCGTAACCTAATTGAAATTGTTCTTGATGCGCTTCCTGAGGAGTATGATTCGATTGTAGCGGCGATGAATAGCAAAGATCTGTGTTCGTTGGATGAACTTGAGTCGAGTCTTTTTGCTCATGAATCGCGCCTTGAAAAGAATCGTAAAGTTGTTCTCACTGAACCTGTCACCGTGAATCTCACTCAAGCCTCGCCATCATCAACGTCGTCTTCTACAGAAGTTTCAGGTGGTGATCCTAGCCCTAATTTTCCCACTGGAACCAGTCATGTAACTGCAAATGCTGAAAACCATGGTTATGGCGCTCGTGGTGGTCGATATAGTCGTGGTGGTGGACACTCCAGCCGTGGTGGTGGTCGCTTTGGGAAGGTTTCATGTCAGATATGTCACAAATTTGGACATGATGCCTTTATATGCTATCATAGATACTCCTATTCAGGTGCGGTTTCCTTTCCTCAATCACGAGCTCCCTTCAATCCTTACATGATGGCACCACGCGCTCCTACCTATCCTTCTTCATATAGATATCCTACTACTCCTCGTCCTACACCACCTAGGCAAAATCCACCACAAGCTTTTCTTGCAGGAACTGATCCTTACTTCAGTAACCAGTCGTGGTATTCTGCCTGAGGCTTCAAATCTGTCTGATGTTTCTTCCCTGACTAGCGCTGAACAGGTGTATACGGGAAACGGCCAAGATTTGTGCATTAACTCTGTAGGTTCCATGACGTTTTGAATTGAAGTACCAATTACCACTTTTGCAAAAATAATGATTTCCTTTTGTTGCAATTAAAAAAACAAGAAAACCAAAGGTGAGTGTGTGAGGATAAATGTAATGTCATGCTTAAGATAGCCACCAAAACTATTGCTAACAACTAATTCTTTACATGCCTATGAATCTTTTAACTACTGCCACTATGAATGTAGGCAATAAATGACCCAACTACAGTACTTGTTGATCCAGATGATTCAGCCTTTGCTCTTATTACCCCTTCTTCACTTCTTGTGTCCTCTCTTGACTTGCCCATTGCTTGTTGTAAAAGGAAATCATTCTACTCCTAATCTTCATTCCAAAGTTGAGTCTAGAGACTAACTATCATACTCTAGCTAACAAAACATGTAGACTTTTAGAGTTGAAACGTCTTCTGCAAGTATTAAAGTTTTACAAGATTCATCCACCCCATTTCCAATGTTGTTTAGGTAAAGATTCTTGCAAGTGTTGAAAAGGAAAAGAGACAAGACATGTGATGGAATCTGTGTTTGAATTACACACCAAAGAATATGGATAAAGATTTAGGGGAAAGATTTTTTTAAGAAGAAAAAGAGATAGGAGACAAGTGATGGATTCGTGTCTAAATTACCCAGAAGAATTTGCAGAATATTTTCTTGCCTCTTGGGGTGCAGGTGGTTCAGAGCATAGAAATATAAATAGAAAAGAAAATAGAAAAATGGGGGGCGAAAATCAGAGATGTTAAGGCAATCAGATACCTTCCAAGTAAACAACATATCTATCATGATAAGGTAACCATATACCTTTCAAGAGGTATAAATATATGTACAAAGAGTGATAGTTACATTAAATTAGTTCACACTTACTCTATTATGTTAAGGTAATCAGATACCTTTCAAGAGAACAACATAACCTAAGACCACCTCTAACGGTGGTTTTTCAGATTGGTTTGTCAGTTTGGCATTGAAATTGTCAACAAAAAAGTTGTTCCAGCTGGTGAACAGTACAAATATAAGCAACAGTTCTTCATATTTTTTTATTATTAAAATAATCAAATAAAATTTAGTATGAATAAAATATTAATATACAAAGTAAAATTGTGGGACCCAATATAAGTTCTTTAAAATTGCACCATTGGAGTGAAAAATGGAGTGAGTTGCTTCAAGATGATGTGGCTTAATAGGTCCCACAAAGAACTCAAATATAAGTAGCACCATTGGAGATGCTCTAAGGCTATTACACAAAACTACTATATATAGCACTAAATTCGATTTTTATCATATTCTTATTATAATTTACTTTACTCAAACAGAACCCCACTTCCTCATTTTCAAAACATGAATCGAACAGAATAGACAAACTGGAATCAATAAGAAACATAAACTTTTAAAGGTGAAATCCATTTTTTTCATTTCAAACACTCAATGGAATTTTAATGAAGATTTACCAAATACAAGTAATATACTAAATTTGAAAACTAAAAATAGACACTGTAACCCTTATTAGAAGGAAATATCATATAATTCATTAATAGATAGTTTTGGCAGAAAACTTAACAAGAAAAATATGCCTATGCAAAGAAAAAATAAAATTAGAAAGATAAGTCAGACTATGGGATTACAAGTACACACCGTAGGCATAGGCACAGTCCAGCCATTCTGCTGGCACCAGTCCAAGGAAGGGCGCAGGTCCTTACTAAAAGCTTCATATGAACATCCTTCACCATGCGGAGGAGGTAGCAAATCAATCTAGAAAGAAAATCAACATTATAAATCCACTATCCTTACAAATCCATATGTATCATTTGCTCATATCTAGGTAGAGCCAGCGACAAAAAAATAGCCATAACTACTATACACCAAATTAGATGCTTGAAAAATGAAGCATGGAAGAATTGAAAAAAGATGAACTATTCAATTGTCTATAATTCATATTTAAATAATCAATAGCCTCAGGCATGAAAAAAGAATTTACCTGTGTTTTTTCGTTTAAAAAAATCCATATTTCTCAAGTGCTGACTTAATTTAGAGAAGAAAAATAAGTCCTTCTCTTTCCTAATTCCCCCTCCTAGATCATACACTTTATCACTATGCTAGATCATACACTTTATCACTATATGCTGCTAGAGGTTCAGCACTTTACCAACAATATCTCTTAGGTTCTGAGCATGTTAATCTCGGTACTACTTTAAACACAGTCACTTATGATTTGTTAGCCTCACCTGTACCCAATTCTCCCAGGTCTCCTTTTGTTAATAACTCACTAATGCCCTGTTAAGAAATGCGTTTGGGCCTAACTCAACCCTACAAAACTGGATTGTAAGGTAAGGATTGTCCCCACTTATAAGGACATGTTCAGGCCATATATTATCCGATGTGGGACTCTTAACATACCTTATCCCTCAACTTCCAATGCAACCTTTCATTCACCCTAATAACACTTATTACGGTCTTCGATCTAAAATTAGCAAAGTTTGTCTTGTTTACATTGATGATCCTTCATTTTGTAGGTACTCCCTCCGGTCATTATTATAAGCAAAAAAATGACTTTAAATTTTGGTCACTATTATAAACAAGAGTCATTAACTTTTAGACTAACTAATGCTTGTATTAATATTATACCCTTAATTTAAGTCAAAAACATTTAATGTTGGTAGTTGATTCATCAAATATAACTAAGGATATTATAATAAATTTTACTTTGATTGTACATGAAATCAAAAAAATTAATTACACTTAACTAACTTTCTTAATCTGTGTGAAAGTAGTTATTTTGACTTATAATTGTGACCGGAGGGAGTACATTGTAAGGCCCTAACCCAAAGAACATTCAGATTTATATTATTCCTAACACTGCAAAGTATATCTACTTAACGTCTATATGGCGACATGCTGTTGAAGAACTGTATGCACTTCAAAATAGTGAGAGACTTGGGACTCTGTTCCTTCTCCAAGTCAGATCCCGATGGATCATCAAGTTTAAGGTTGGTCGTGTTTATCAGGTTGATAGAACTAAAACTTTGCCAGTTCCAAAAGGTTATTCGTAGTATTGTATAGTAGACTAGGACTATGGGGATACTTTCTCCCAAGAGCTTAATTTGGCTCCCGCTAGGCCATTATTGTAAATTGTTCTTTGCCACTACCATCTTACAAAAATGCTTTCGTTCATGTTGATTTCAATTAAGCTTATAAGAAGCGACCTATTGGATCTGTTGCTCAAGGGGACTAATACGACCTTAAGTAAGACTCAATATGGTCTCACATAATTTCCAAGGTTTCGTATATTTAGCACAATGAAATACTAAGCCATAAGTAAAAAGATTAAAGGAGTCAATGAATTAAAGAGAAAAGGAAAACTGCAAATTCAATGTCCAAATAGGAGAAGACTTTAAAAAAATTACTCTAGTAAAAAAGAAGTAGCAAAATCATGTATCAAATATAAACACGCAACAAAAATAACCAATATTACCTGAACTTTGTCATTTCCAAATAGTTCAGTCACTTTTCCAGACCAATAGCAACCATCCGAAAACCAATCTACCAAATCCCCAATCTTCCATGCGCCATCAACAATAACGACCACTTCTGAGATGGCATTTACATCAAGCTTTTCACTTTCACGATAAATGGTAGGAAAGCGAGGTCGCACCATTAATACCTTGTTGAGTCCCTTTGACTTGTTAACATGAGGGGCTTTCTCATACACCTTGATTTGAATACTCTCTACAAACAAGTAGTATGACAATTATTATCTTTACAAATGATCAGCTATCATTGCAACTTGTAATACAAAGTTTTTGTTCATCAACGACGAGAAAAACTAGTTATTTGCCATTATACCTCAATTATATGAAGCATTTTTTTCTTTTGAGCTAAATAAAGAATTTAAAGTAAACCATCAAGTTAATCTGAAACATTTAGTCTTTCGAAAGTTCATTCATCCCGAATTATAAGTCTATGAAAAATATTTGTCCCAAATTATAAGTTACTTTACAATTCGAATAAAGCATTAATGTTTACTTTTCCATCATATCCCTTACTATAATTACTCTTTATTCTTCCCATTCTTTAATTTTTTTTTTTTGAAGAATAACTTTCCAAAGATTAATGTGGTGAGATATGGATGTTTGTCATATTTTACTTGGTAGACCTTGGCAGTTTGATAATGATATCACTTATCGAGGACAGGATAACGTGATGATGTTTACACGGGGCACACATAAAATTGATATGGCTCCTGTTTTGCACTTTGATAAAAATCCATGAGGAAAGAAGTCTAGTTTCTTGGGGATGACTCAAAGTGAAAAGGAGCTTGATGAGGCTGTAAAAGAAACTTAATATTTTTGTCCAATGGTGATCAATGGGTTGATGGATGCTGAAAAGAAGGAAACAACGATTTCAAAAGAAGTCTAGAGATCCTTGAGGATTTCAAGGAGTTGACTGCAGAGGAATTACCAAATGATTTCCATCCCATGCGAGATATTACCAAATGATTTCCATCCCATGCGAGATATTCAACATCAAATTGACCTCATCCTGAGGTCTAGCTTACCAAACCATCCTCACTATCGTATGAGCCCCATGAAGAATGAGATTTTAAGGGAGCAGATTGAAGATTTGTTGAAGAAAGGATTTATTCGTGAGAGCATGAGTCCATGTGCAATACCAGTCCTTTTAGTCCCTACTAAGAAAGGAAACCAGTGGCAAATGTGTGTTGACGGCCGAGCCATTAATAAGATAACTATCAAGTATCGATTCTCAATTTCCCGTTTGGAAGACATGCTTGACGAGTTGGACGATTCTAAGGTGTTCTCGAAGATAGATTTGCATAGTGGCTATCATCAGATCAGAATCAGACCTGGAGATGAATGGAAAACAGCTTTCAAGAGTAAAGATGGATTGTATTAGTGGTTGGTGATTCCCTTTGGTTTGTCAAACGCCCCTAGCACATTCATGGGGTTGATGAATCAGGTTCTACATCCGTTTACTGGTTCTTTTGTGGTGGTTTATTTTGATGATATTTTGATTTACAGTAAGACAAAGAAAGAACATTCGCAGCATGTGGGGCAAGTGTTGCAAGTCTAATAGGAGAACCAATTGTACATTAATCTGAAAAAATATACATTCGGAACCAACTTTTTCTCGGCTTTGTTGCTGGTGAAGAAGGGATCCAGGTTGATGAAGATAAGTTGAGTGCTATAAGGGAGTGGCCTGCACCTAAACCTGTGACAGAGGTTCGTAGTTTTCATGGTCTAGCCACCTTTTATAGGTGGTTCATCAAAGATTTCAGTACTATCACTACGTCTATTACTGAATGTTTGAAGAAAGAAAAGTTCAATTGGGGGTTTGAGCAAGAGCAGAGTTTTACACTAATTAAGGAGAAGGTATTCCAAGTTGAATGTGATGTTAGTGGAGTGGGAATAGGAGATGTGTTGTCTCAGGAGAAGAAACCAGTAGCCTTTTTAAGCGAAAAATTAAGCGATGCTCGCCAGAAATGAAAAACTTATGATCAGGAATTCTATGCAGTCAAATGGAGTTCATTATATTCACCGACCATTAAGCTTTGAAGTTTCTTCATAGCCAGAATATAAACAAGATGCGTGCTCGGTGGGTGAGTGAGTTTTCTACAAAAATTTCCTTTTATTATTCAGCATAAGTCGGAGACTCTTAACAAGGTAGCAAATGCATTGAGTAGAAGGGCTTCCTTGCTAATTACCGTAGCACAAGAGATAGTAGGTTTCGAGTGCCTGAAAGAGTTGTATGAAAGTGATGTTGAGTTCAAAGAGTTATGAGCCAATGCAGTGGAAAACATCCTTGTGCAGATTTTTATATTCGAGATGGCTATCTTTTTAAAGGGGTCGACTATGCATTCCTTACTCCTCTTTAAGAGAGAAGTTAATTCGAGACCTGCATGGTGGTGGTCATAACGGCCATCTAGGTAGAGACAAGACCATTGCTAGTCTGGAGGAGAGATATTATTGGCCACACTTGAGGAGAGACGCTGGTACTATAGTCAGGAGGTGTTATACTTGTCCGGTCTCTAAGGGTCAGTCTCAAAATACTGGTCTTTATATGCTTTTACCTATTCCTGATGATATTTGGCAAGATTTAGCCATGGATTTTGTGTTGGGCTTGCCTCGTACACAGATAGGTGTAGATATTGTGTTTGTCGTAGTAGACAGATTCTCCAAGATGACCCACTTCATTGCTTGTAAGAAGACCGTTGATGCGTCCAACATAGCCAAACTGTTTTTCAGTGAGGTTGTGCGTCTCCACGGGATTCTTAAGTCAATTACTTCAGACAGAGACACAAAATTTCTCAGTCATTTTTATATTACTCTTTGGAGATTGTTTGGAACCACGCTGAATAGGAGTTCTACAACTCATCCTCAAACAGATGGACAAACTGAGGTAACCAACATAACATTGGGAAATATGATTCGAAGTGTTTGTGGTGACAAGCCAAAACAGTGGGATTTAGTTTTGTCTTAGGTCGAATTTGCTTACAACAGCGATGTGCATTCAGCTACATGGAAATCACCATTCCCTCTAGTCTATACTTTTATTCCTAAGCATGTGGTTGATTTGGTTAATTTTTCTAAGGCGCCTGGAGTTAGTGCGACCGTTGAGAATATGGCCCAGGAAATGGTCACTGTAAAAGAAATTGTCAAGGTTAAGTTAGAGGCTACTGGGCAGAAGAATAAAGCAGCTGTTGACAAACGCATGAGTTAAAATTTTCAATGTAGGAAACGATGTGATGGTGTTTCTACGAAAAGAGAGGTTCCCGGTTGGTACTTACAGCAAGTTGCAGCCACGCATATATGGACTGTTCAAAGTGACCCGAAAGATCAATGATAATGCTTATTTGGTAGCTCTTTCGAATGCCATTAATATATCCAATACCTTTAACATTGCTGACATTCATGAGTATCAAACAGATAAGACTTTTTAGAGAACTCGGGATCGAGTTCTTCAGAGGTGAAAGAGACTGTTGTAGAAAGGTTAACTGCGCGTATCGAAGAAGATATAGCGCGTTGGAAAACATTTTAATATTTAAGCAATTTTCTATTTTAATATTTAAGTAATTTCTATTTTATTTGTTTTATTTAATTATGTTTTGGATTAAAGACCCATAAGACTCATTAGGGTTATTTTATTTTATGTATTTAAAGACCTTTGGCATGGCCATAAGGATTATCTTTCATATAATATAATTCGAAGTTTTCTTTATTCCTGATGGACTCTAAAACTTATCTAATAGGTTTTGTACTTCTAACCCTGTTCTTTATTTTAGGTTTAACATTTGCTACTCTCTAAGGCTTCTGACTACGTCACTATTATAAATACAAAAATAGCTTCACTCAACAAGCTAATAAACTCTAGATTTGTTATAATTGGAAGCAAGAACATACTTTCATCAGGGTAGTCAGGATACTCCAATAGATAGCTCATCCCACCATATTTCTCCACAATCTTTAAGATCTGAAAGAATAATATAAAATATTAAGGACACCAAATATGAAATTTTAGATTCGTAAACACATCCAAAAAAGAGACTAGACAATAGTTGAGCAGTCCAACAAAAACATGATTTTGAAAAGGCCAATAGCACAAACAGTTTGACAGAAAGCTGAAGAATTCTCAAGGAGTTACTTTGAAGATAGTATCAAGTTTTACTTGATCAAACTTACAATGCCGAAAGATGCTGTGTTGATGACTGTATATTCGTAATTATTGGTTTTAATAGGATTAATTGTATTCTTTCTGTTCTCTTTTTTTAGTACATATATAAGGATTCTGAGGAGATTGTGGCCCCTTATTTTAGGATTAGATTGATTTACAGGCTCAGTTTTGTTTTCCTAAGAATTGAAAACCAATGAATCATTTTTCTGCATGGTAATAGACCGCAATCTAAACCATTGGTAAAAGGACCAAACATGGAGTGTAAAAGTCAGAGCCCGAACTTATATTGGAGACCAAGTCGGTCGAGCATTCGGTTCTCCTAATATTCGGTCAAACTACAGTTCGGATCTTTCTCCAAAGAAAGGAAAAGGAAGGATATATCAAGGGACTCCAAGCAATCAGAGAAGGTGGCCCCAACAAGAAAAAATGGAAGCTTGCTGATGTGGCTCCTCAACAACATGCCTGATGGCAGGTTGGATCCCATGACTGACACCTCTCTATATGTCCTCATCATTTTGTATGAGGAACTCAAGGTACTTAAAATATAAGACTTGTGATATCGTATGTTTTCCAATTTTCTCCTGTAAACTATGATTTGTATATATCTTCCGAAATAATAATCAATGTATTTCGTTTTACTTCTGCCAAGAATATACGAGTACTCAACGTTTACTAAAACTGAACTTTTAAACAATTTTATATTCTATTTTATTATATTAAATAAGAAAACTTTATGACATAAAGCTTCTGCCAAGGCTGTCCAGCTTAATGTTGTGTAATCAATATTCCTACTCTGAAAAAAATATCAAGGATGACATAATGTATACCTTGCACCTGAACCATGCACCGCGAAAACCATTTAGAAAGGATTGTGACTCGATCAATTCCCCGACTTGAAATGGAAGGTCAGACATTTTTAACAAAGGCGCTTCCAAACTTCCAGTTCGCAAATACAAAACCTTGATACACAAGAGAAGTGTTATACAACCATTTTGAGAGCTCTAACTGAGGAAAAGGGGCTTAAACCAAGTTGAATCCACTAGTGAACAAGCAAAATCAGGTTGCAGTTTGAGAGACATTTCATTTGATAGTTATGTTCAAATACCAAATATGTAAAATAATAATAATTATAAATATTTAGCTTGATCCTTCGAAGATTACTATATCAACACATAATCCTCCAAATGTTTTTCGACAACTAAAGCTTATATAAAAACATCACTCAGTGTTATTAATAGTGGATCACAAAAAGTTGAGGATAGCTAGAAATCCGAACTGAGATACAGAGGGTAGCATAGCGGGTAAATAGCGGAAGCCACAAAGGAATTGAAATATAAATAATTGTATATAAAATAAAGCATGTTGCATACTAATAAAAGTTGCATAAACATAAATTAAAAAAGTAGCAAACATAAAACTCAAAATCTCAAAATTTCAAAAAACTAATAGAGCGCGATATCAATGTCTAAAACTCGAGAGTTTAAGCAGAACCAATAGAGGATTCAAAAATTGTAACTTAGGGATCGTAGCACAAATCGTAAGATCCTACTACTGGTAGAAAAAGAAAGAGAAAGTGCTGCAGCAAGTCGGTGTCGTCGACGTCTTGTTGAATGAAAGACAAAGCTTGAATGTGAAAGAGGAAGTAATTATGTTTAACGAGGACGAAGAACAGTAATGGAAGAAAGAGATTTTAAGCTGAAATAATTTGATAACGGTTGAGTTAGGCTGGAATATTTTGCATGATACGATACGATACGATTTGGTTTAAAAAGAGTTATTTTGATTTGTGTCTTTATGAATTTCTATTTTAAAAAGATAATAATAAATCAGTATTTAATAAAACCCGACCCGATTCAGGTCTGTTTTAGAAAATTAGGATGTTTTCTAAAAAAATAACTTAAAACAGAAGTACCGCATCTGCAGAGTGGAAACGAACCAGATTTCCAACTCGGGCGAGTTTACCGAGTTTCACCATACAATCTTACCTGCGATTCAGCCCGCCAGCATGCAATTGAAACCTCAACTTAGGCGAGTTTCGAGTCAACTCGTGATCCTGCATACACGGCAGAATACATAGTTGCAAGTTTGGAACCCGCTAAAACACATCACAATATTATTTCTTTTGTACGGTTTATAATCGATATATTAAAACACTGCTTTAATGTTGTTAAGAGTCTCATGTCAGATAATATGTATGTGTCATGAACAAACCGCTATAATTGATAAATCAAAACACGCTGCGTTAATGATATTAAGAGTTTCACATACTACATTTATAAGTGGAGGAAATCCTCACTATATAAGCCGATTTTGTAAGGATGAATTAGGTCAACCATAATTTCAAGAAATGTAAATGTAGCAATGACTACCCCAAATAGATAGTCGTTGGACCCAACCGAACGAAAAAAGGGATAACTGGAATTGGTGAATGTACCAATTCCAAATACGTTTTGGAAAAGAAACAAACACAACACTAATCAACCAAATGATTTCATATATTTTCCAATCTATCAATTGTTTGGCATGAAACCCTAAATTTTTATATGCAAGATTGTTGTAAAATACATTCAAATTTTCAAAAGAAAAGCAAATATATATATAAATACATGAATAAGTGTATGTTGAGAAATCCGAAAAATCAAGAAAAGGAAAGAGGGAGTACATGTACGGAGTACAGGAGTGTTGATGGCGAACGATGATGGACTCCGGTGGGTTTCCCGGTGAGTTGAGTTGAGTGTGAGTGTCTCTCATGCAATGGCGCAAGGTGGCAGCGGTACCATTTCGTTTTCGCAATGGAGAGTTGCTGGGTCCGTTCTGTCACTGCTTGCTCTTTATATATGAATGTATTTTATTCTGAATCAAGAAAATAAAGATTTACTTCATGTTTTAAAAACCCAATCAAATCACGAATCTCAAATATCTTTTGTCTCATCTTAATATTAAATCAATATGTATTATTGAATTAATGATATTGGTTAGAATCGGCCAAAATCAATAAAAGTCGATAAATTAATTATTTTTTAAAATTGATGAGTTAAACATATGTATTTTTAGATAAAATGATGCGTTTTGATAATTTAAAAAATTAAAATATAAGAAAGATTGGTTTAAAATTTAAATGGAATAATTTTCTTTGGTTTTCGATTTGAATTTATTTGAATTTATATTTTATATTATTTTATTGGGTGTGATGATTATCTTTATAATTTGAATGTAAAGAATAAAGTTATGAAATTATGATATTTTGAAATTTTGTAAAGGTATAAATTGGTAATTTTAAAGATGTGGTTCATATTATTTTCTTTATAAATATGATAAGCGTATAATTTCTACTTAAGAGTGTCCAAATTTAAATGAATTCAAATAAAAAATCGAAAATCAATCAAAAAAAATTGAAAACCATAAAAAACTGAAATTAATTAGATGTCTTTAGATGTCATTTTGTGAAAATCGATCTGTTCGGATCAGATTTCGAATTAATTTTTCAAAATTGATTCAAACAAAACTGAACCGAATACATATATTTTTATACTTATTTACTTTTTATTAGTATGATATATCACGTGAATTTATTATTAGATGATAATAATTCTTTTAATAATATTTATTAGTTTGGTATAATCTATTTATTTTTATTATTCCAATTATAATCGATCACTCTCATTTTGCAATATTAACTTTTAATATGTTATATGTTATATATTATATCAAATCTATGATTTATTATTAGTTTTATAATATTAATAAAAATATAATATGTAATTTAGATATCCAAAAATCGATCTAAATTAAACCGCATAAAATTGCATCGGATCAGATTGGATTTTTTTTTAATATATTATCCAAAACCGAACCAAACGCAAGTAAATTTTATCTTTGATCGGATGAGTTTTTGATTTAAAAATGATTCAAACCGAACCGCGAACACCCATATTTCTACCTATACATATGTAATTTTCTCTTATTTTCACTCCATAAATGAAATTTTTTACCAACATACACCCCTTTTAACAACTATATCTCAATATACCACACCTTTCAACCATTATTTTCAATATACCATCTTTTCAAAAAAAAATTGGAATTAGGAGGCTCCGCCCAATGGATGGGCGGATGGTCTTAAAAATACACAGCTTCCGCCCATTGCATTGGCGGAGCTGTGTGATCAACGTTTTTTTTTTAAAAATAATTTTAAAAATATATTAAAATTGCTGTTAAATAAAAAAAAATATATTTTTATAAAATGAATTTGATATATTCAATTTTAAGTCATTTTAATAAAATTATTAAAATGTTAATATACAAAAAAAAATTATTTTAATGTAATTTTAAAAATAAATTAAAATTATTATTAAATAAGAAATCAATATATTTTTATAAAATGAATTTGATATATTCAATTTTAAGTCATTTTAATAAAATTATTAAAATATTAAAATTTTAACATACAAAAAAAATTTATTTTAATGTAATTTTAAAAATAAATTAAAATTATTATTAAATAAGAAATCAATATATTTGTATAAAATGAAATTGAAATATTCAAATTTAAGTCATTTTAATGAAATTATTAAAATATTAAAATATTAATATACAAATAAAATTTATTTTAATGTAATTTTAAAAATAAATTAAAATTATTATTAAATAAGAAATCAATATATTTGTATAAAATGAAATTGAAATATTCAAATTTAAGTCATTTTAATGAAATTATTAAAATATTAAAATATTAATATACAAATAAAATTTATTTTAATGTAATTTAAAAATAAATTAAAATTATTATTAAATAAGAAATCAATATATTTGTATAAAATGAAATTGAAATATTCAAATTTAAGTCATTTTAATGAAATTATTAAAATATTAATATACAAATAAAATTTATTTTAATGTAATTTTAAAAATAAATTAAAATTATTATTAAGTAAGAAATCAATGTTAAAATATTAATCATAGAAAGGGCCATGTTATTTTATTATTGCAGTGCGGCTCCGCCCCTGCAATTGACGGAGGGTTTTATTCATTTTATTATTTTATTATTTCAGTACGGTTCCGCCAGTGCGATGGGCGGAAGTTTTCGTAATTTTATTATTTATTTACGGCTCCGCCACGTTAATGGGCGGAGGGTTTTATTATTTTATTAATTTAAAATTTTTGTTGTGACCTATAAATATCGTAGATGTTGAATGATCCAAGCTACACTTAAATTATTTTTCTTTAGTTGTATCTTAAAAATGTCTTCAACATCCGGGGAGTTTTCAATGTTTCCATATATGAAAAGAGACGCGGAACTTATTTTTTCTCCAGTAAAGCCTCCGATGAAGATCAAATTGTTGAACACGCAGACATTTGAGCATCTGCATAGGCACTTGGAGGGATGGTTAGGGGAAGAAATTGCCCAAGGTGAAAAGATTCGGAAAATAGAGAGGTTAGTTACGGTGCCTGGCTTAAATGGACCCACTCGTTCTTGGAGACTTGTTCACAATGACGCATGTGTTCTTATGATGATGCTTCAACAAAAAGACATTGTGTTGCTGATTGTAATATCCTAGAAATGGTTATGTCCTTGTTTGAACATGTTGATGTTGTTTACGTTTAATGTTGTTGCTAAGTTCTACTATTCGTCTCAGTATTTTAATTTATATGTTGTTTTTTCGAATTGTTATTTATATTAAATGCAGAAGTATTAGTGAAATGAAACATAATAACTCGGTGTCATTATACATACAACTTTGCAGATTGATAACAAAATGAATAACTAATTATTACTAGTTCCTACATTGGGGCATCGCGTTCGGTTGTGACCTGGAAGATGACACAATGTGCATTTTCTCTCCAACTTATCATATGCGTCCATTTCTGTTGTAATACGGGTGCTCACGGGACGACCTTTCTTGTTCCTCCGCATAACTGGATTATGGCAAATTTGATCTCCCTCATAAGTGGGCCAATACTCATCGTATGGTAGAACTGGAAAGCTCGTGTTGTAAACCCCAAATAAGTTCGCAACCTTGTAAACGTCAGACAACAGAAGAAATGCGTCTTGGCGCACCACAGAACATGTAGCGATAACATGTGAACAAGGAACACGGTATGCTTGAAACTTTCCGCAGTCACACCATCCTTCCATTAGGTTGACCTTGTAACGCCCCAATGGCTTCCCCTCACCGTGGTTAATTGTCTCCCTTACACTGAAAGTGTTATTATTATAGTAAAAAATGCTTACTTGATGTGTGGCGGATTTAGACATCTCTTCTTTCATCACCTTCACGCACCGTTCTGTAAATGTTTGTCCAGAATTCAAAACTGCACTCCACTTTGCACCCCTTTCAGCAAAGAGTGTTCCCATCTTATAGTATGTTGCACTTATTAACGATGTGATGGGGAGATTACGAGTGCCTTTAAATACGGAATTTAGTGACTCAACAAGGTTTGTTGTCATGTGCCCCCAACGACGACCCTCGTCAAATGCCCTCGTCCATTTTTCAACGGGAATTCTGTCTATCCACCTCAAAGTATCACCATTAGCCATCCCAATTTCATTATGATAATATTTAAATGTTGGTTGGTTCAGCGCATACCCTACATGTTAAAAAAAATATTGGTTAATATAATGGTATACTATTAACGAGCATGTAATGTTTGCATAAAAAATACTTACCCATGTTGATTATTTTTTTCCGGAGGATACGGTCCTTGATATCCTTCATAAAATTTTGCGCAATATGCCTGATACAATACACATGGACAGATGTAGTGTTATTCCAACCATTTTCAGGATTGTTATAAGCGCTTTCGATAGATGCATGTCGGTCAGAAATCAAACACAAGCCAGGTTGAGGAGCTACATGCACTCTCAAGTTTTTTAGAAAGAAACCCCAACCATCCGCCGTCTCACCTTCCACTAAGGCAAAGGCAACTGGGAAAATATTGATGTTTCCTTCTTGTGCTACAGCCATTAGTAGTGTACCTTTGTACCTTCCATATAACCAGGTACCATCAATCTGTAGTAAAGGCTTGCAATATGCAAAGCCACGTATGCATGGTTGGAAAGCCCAAAATAGTCGGTGGAAGATTTGTTTCCCAGCAATAATAGTCCTGTCATCTGTATATACCGGTAGTGTTTGCATTTCTACTACAGTGCCTGGAACAAACTTCTTAAGGGCCAACAAGTAATTTGGAAGTTCATTGTATGACTTTTCCCAATTACCAAACACTTGTTCGATTGCTTTGTTTCTAGCAATCCATGCCTTCTTGTAAGATGGAGTGTATTTGAAAAAAGAAACAATTTCGTTAATACATACACTCACCTTGATGGAGGGATCCTTTTCAACAAGAGGCATTAATCGTTCACTCATCAGTCAAGAGCTTAGTTGTCGATGATCCTGATTAAAGATGGTCGTTGAACAATTATGTGGGGGCTCCATGATTCCTATCTCCCATAGGTCGCTCATTTTCCTATAGGATGCCACTAGACGAAAGTTGCAACCACTTCGCTTACAACAAATTTTATACCTCTTCGTGTCAGAACACATAACCCTGAAATCAACGACATGTTTCATATGGTACCTGGATATCGCAAAGACACAGTCAGATTTGTTTTTGAACTGGTTCCCAACAGCTATGTCATCCTCCAGCGGAAGACGAGGATTTTTGGGCCATTGAAAGGATGATTCGTCTCCAGCTGTATCCAGAGTTGTCATGTGGGCGGGTGGACAATAGACATTCTCTAGTGGAATGTGTTGTTCAGTTTCGTTAATTGCATCCGCCTCGTCACGTCCACCGTCTTCAAATAAAGTTGTGAACAAATCATCAGCTTGTGACTCAGTCTCCTCTTCTTCGTCATCTTCGACAACGACTTCCTCGGGAATTATGGACACGGGCTCAACATCATTGGGATTGGCCACTTGTGAGATTTGAGATTGTTGAGAAGTTTGAAATTTTATGTATAAATCTATCGCATGTAACCCAGATAATTCATGGTTGTAAAACATCATTTCCACATCATCATCATCTCGGATTTTCAGTGGAACATATTTCATCTGGTTAACACCGAAATTAACAGCATTTCGATATATAATTTGTGAGACAACTCCAGATTGCATCCTTGTTTGTATCCTCTCCCTCAAATATTCAAATTTCGCATTTCTACTTAATTTGAACCGGCATATATCGGTATTTTCGAATATAATGCCCATTTCATCGGAGATAAGAATCTCTCCATTGTAATGAGCATCTACTATGTATTGAGGTATTTGAGACATGTTGATTTGTTAGTGAATACAATCTGAATTGTAGGAGAAATTTGGTTTTTAGATGGGTTGGCTTTATGAAAAAAAGTAGGAGGTAGAAGTGTATTTAAATGAAATAGATTTTGTGTTTAGTAGATATGGTGTAATAAATAAACGCAGGAAGAATTGAATTTAGTGGTCAAACTGAATTTATGTTGTAATATGGTGTAATATATGAATTTAATTTATAATGTATATTATTTAATCATATGAATTTAATTTATAATGTATATTATTTAATTATATGAATTTAATTTAAATGTATATTATTTAATTATATGATTTAAATTTATAATGTATATTATTTAATTATATGAATTTAATTTATAATGTATATTATTTAATTATAATGTATATTATATGAATTTAATTTACAGAATAAAAAAAATACGTTTTGCACACATCCGCCCATCTAATGGGCGGACCCTCTTTTTTTTTATAAGCATCCGCCCAATGCAGATGCGGAGACCAAGGCAAATACACTCCTCCGCCCATTATATTGGCGGATGAGTTGTGGCAAAAACTTGTTTTGTTTGAAAAGAGAGTATATTGGGATATATGAATGTGTGAGAGAGTATATTGGGATTTAAATGCTAAAAAGAGGGTATGTTGATAAAAAAATTCCCATAAATGATACTCCCTTCGGCCCAAAATATATGTCATATTTGACACTTTCACATCGATTAAGAAAATGTGATAAATAAAAAAGAGAATAACAATTTTACCAAACTATCTTGATTGGTTATTTG